TTCAGTGTAGGCTCAGTGTCGCGATTCTGAGAGGAAGTCCTCTCGGTATGGGATGGGCGTGTGGGGGGTGGGGGGGGAGGGGAAGGGGGTGGGGGGGGGGGGGGGGAGGGGGGCAGAAGAGGTGGAGCCCCCCCCCCCCTGGCGAGGCGGTGCACATCAAAGGGGTTTCGTCGGCATGTATTTATAACAGTGGTGGTGCCGAAGCCAGGCAGCAGCTCTGGCCCCGTCTTGTTGGGGTTGTAAGACCCACTCTGCCCCCCACCCCCTTTCCCTTCTCCCCCCATCTGTCCCCCACCCCCCAACCCCTTTCCCTTCCCCCCCTTCTTTCCCTCCCTCCCCTCCCCACTTCCTTGCCCATCTCTTTCCCCTTCCCCCCCCAACTTTCTTGCCCCCTCTCCTCATCATCATCATCCTCATCCTCCCCCCCCCACCTGCTCTTTGCCTCGTGTCAGTTGAAATTACGGAGTTCCTCGTGTCATGCTTGAGGGACTGGCCAGCGCTGGTGTCATGCACGGAAAAGGCGAGGTCAAAAAAGTGAGAAAGAGGAAGAAGAAGAAGAAAGAGAAGCAGGAAGAACAAGAAGGGGGTCAGGGGGGGGGGGGGGGGGGGGGGGGGGGGGGGGGGGGGGGGGGGGGGGGGGGGGGGGGGGGGGGGGGGGGGGGGGGGGGGGGGGGGGGGGGGGGGGGGGGGGGGGGGGGGGGGGGGAGGGGGAGGGTGGGGGGGGGGGCAGAAGAGGTGGAGGCCCCCCTTCCCCCCTGGCGAGGCGGTGCACATCAAAGGGGTTTCGTCGGCATGTATTTATAACAGTGGTGGTGCCGAAGCCAGGCAGCAGCTCTGGCCCCGTCTTGTTGGGGTTGTAAGACCCACTCTGCCCCCCACCCCCTTTCCCTTCTCCCCCCATCTGTCCCCCACCCCCTCTCCCTTCTCCATCTGTCCCCCACCCCCCAACCCCTTTCCCTTCCCCCCCTTCTTTCCCTCCCTCCCCTCCCCACTTCTTTCCCTCCCTCCCCTCCCCACTTCCTTGCCCATCTCTTTCCCCTTCCCCCCCCAACTTTCTTGCCCCCTCTCCTCATCATCATCATCCTCATCCTCCCCCCCCCCCACCTGCTCTTTGCCTCGTGTCAGTTGAAATTACGGAGTTCCTCGTGTCATGCTTGAGGGACTGGCCAGCGCTGGTGTCATGCACGGAAAAGGCGAGGTCAAAAAAGTGAGAAAGAGGAAGAAGAAGAAGAAGAAGAAGAAGAAAGAGAAGCAGGAAGAACAAGAAGGGGGTCAGGGGGGGGGGAGGGATCAGGAAGAAGAGAGGCGAGGACCACCTTGGTTGTTGTGGACATAAAATAGAAAAGACGAGGGGGGGTGGGGGTGGAGGGAAGGACTGGGTAGGGGGAACGAGGGGGTAAGGGAGTGGGGAAGAAGAGGAAGGGGCAGAGAGGAGAGATGGAAAGGGAAGAGGAGAAGCGAAAAGGAATGAGCGAAGAGGGGAAGGGATGGCACGAGAAAGGAAAATACGAGGAAGAAGAAAAGATGAAGAAAATGAGAAAACAAAAAGAGGAGGAAGAAAATGAAAAAAACACACGAAAAAGAGGAAGGAGATAACGAAGGGGAAAAGAGGCGAAGAGGGAAGAAGGGGAAATCGTGAAAGACTTTTATTTCCATCGCGACTGACGCAGCTGAGGTGTGACGGGTGGACGCGAGTGAAAGCGAGAGGAAATACTCACGAAATGTTTACACGATGGCTTATTTATTTATCTGATTTCTTTATTTTTCTGTCTCCTCTTCTCAGCTCGCATATTTATTCGTGCCTTTCAACTTTCTTCGCCTTTCTCGGGCCGTGACAGCATGGACGGTGTTTGTTATGGTACAATCTTGTCAGTGTAGCGCCACTGTTTACACATTCATGATTGAAGATGATCGGGGGGGGGGGGTGGAAGGGGGGAGGGGGGGGTAAAGGGGGGGGGGTTAGAGGTTTATACAAAGGCCATTTCTGAAGAAGCGGGCTTTTAATTTCCCAAAATATCTCTTGGCAATGTGTAGTTAAACATGTCCATCACCGTCTCTACCGAGTTTCCTGTCTCCTCTCTTTTCTCTCTTCCTTCCTCTCTTCCTTATATGCGCCTGTGTATGTGTGTGTGTGTGTTCGTGTTCGTGTTCGTGTGCGTGCGTTTGTGTTTTGACTCATGTGTATTTCTGGCCGAGACCATGTGCGCGTTTCTGTGAGTCACGTATGTACACATGATCGTACGTTCACGGTTCCCTTTGATCCTGTCACTCGCTGCCAGGGGGGGAGGGGGAAGAGGGAGGTGGTGCTAAGGGAGAGGTAGGGAGGGGGAAGGGGAAGGGGAGGGGGGGGGGTGTAGGTAATAGTGTCTGGAGGTAAGGGATCCAATTGGCTTGTAGGGAGGGGGAGGGGGGAGGTAGGGAGGGGAGGAAGGGGAGGAGGAGAAGGAGGCCGAGTTGACGTCTTAGCGAAGGAAGATGAAGAAGGAAAATAAAGAAGAAAGGAAGATAAAAGAAAAAAAAAAAGGAAAGGGGAAATTGATTCGGCTCGTGGGCGTGCGTTGCATCTTGCCATTGAGATAAGGTGGATGGATTAGCAAGGGAATGCATACAACAACAGAATTCCCTAAAAAGAGCGCACGGATCGTCGTTTTATTACCATTAATATCATTTATATCCCCCTCCCCCTCCCCCCCCAAAAAAAAATCCCAAACAAGATCCTAGACAATCAAGGACGAAAGTAAACAAATTAGGGGGGGGGAGGGGCGAGTAGGAGCAGGAGCAGAGAGAACAGCAGCAGGACCCAGCAGCAGCAGCAGCAGCAGTAGTAATAGTTCCCTGATAGCGGACATTGGCCATGACCCAAGGTTCTGCTAGGGGGGGGGGAGAGAAGAGGAGGGGGAGGGGGAGGCCGGCGCGCGAGGATTTCAATAGACGAGGTGCCAATTAGGGAGTTTAGCGACCTGTCGGGGGAGATATTACTCGGGGGTTTTCAGTCTTGTTTGTGTGTTGGGGGGGAGGGAGGGGAGGAGGGAGAGGTGCGAATTTTCTTCTTTCTTTTCCTCTTCTCTTCTCTCTGTCTCTCTCTATTGCTATTGGTCTCTCTCTCTCTCTCTCTCTCTCTCTCTCTCTCTCTCTCTCTCTCTCTCTCTCTCTCTCTCTCTCTCTCTCTCTCTCTCTCGATGGGCTAATTCATAGCATCACAGCTTTTATTTCATCTTTATGGTTGCAACCACGTGGACGGTTTATTGTTTGTTTGTTATTTTTTTTACTCGTTCCTTTAAGGTTGGAGAGTATTGTCCTCGTTTTCTATTGGCTAATTTTCTGAAGATCAATGGCTCACGCTTGGAGGACTTTTGCAAAAGTGCCGAGGTTGCACGGCTGGGATACTGCACTCCCGACTACATTGATGATACGTGCTGTAACATAGAGAAGAAAAAAGTATATATTACCCGGGCTTCCTCCTCCTTCCTCCCCCCTCCCCTCCCCCAAGTTAACAAGCATCATTATGTGGTCAAAGCGTGCTTGCCTTCCCCCTGGTGACGTGCTTGCGAAGCGATCTGTCAGTCGCTAAGTAACGCCAAGTAATGCATGAGAGTGATTGCCAAAATTCTTGCTTTAGATGATTCTGCAAAGGACTTTACCCCAGCGTGCGCCCGCAGGTGTGCACGTGGGTTCGGGAGCTCAGAGCGGCTGCAAAAACGAGAGAGAGGGGGATGGTGATAGATGGGTGAATCTACGGGCAGGTAGAGCAAGAGGGGAGAGAGGGAGAGGGAGGGAGGGAGCGAGGGAGGGAAGTAGACTGACAGTGAGAGATATACAGAGAGAGAGGGAGAGAGAGAGAGAGAGAGAGAGAGAGAGAGAGAGAGAGAGAGAGAGAGAGAGAGAGAGAGAGAGAGAGAGAGAGAGAGAGAGAGAGAAGGGGAAGAGTAAGAGAAAGAAAAAAAGGAAAATAAAACGAGAGAGAGAAAAGGAGAAAGAGTGGGAAAAGAAAACGAAAAGCGAGCGAGCGCGAGAGCGTAATGACGCCGCCCGCCCCATGCCCGGCGCCGTATCCATTGCAGCAGAGGAACTCCTCGGCGGAAGGGAGTTCCTTAGCGTCCCACGGCCGGGTCGCGACGGCTACCCGAGACCCGGTGTATGGTAATCCGGCCCATGATCCCGCGGGAGGCTCACCTTACTCAACCTCACTCGCGAGAACCGGACGTGACGTCACCCGGGTATATTTTTCAACCGAGCTGTGGTGCGATCTGTGTTTGTTGTCTCACGGAGCGGCCCCGGGCTCGGCGGACGGGGTTTGTTTGGAGTGCGGACGAGGGGGAGGATGCTGGCGGACGAGGGGAGTGGGGACGGGCAAGCAAGCAAGCAAGCAGGCAAGCGTGAGGGGCGTGTGATGGGTAAGGGGAATCAGGTAAACAAGAAGGCATGGGCGGTCTCGAGGTCCTTGCGCGGCCGGCCGCCTGGAGTAGTGAGGGCGAACAGTAGCGGCATATCAGTGACGGGCGGCGAGTGTTGCGGTGGCGGTGCGGCCGCAGCTCGCCGTGCCCCGTAACGTGACCACCCCGGCCAGGGTAACAGTACCCGCCTCCCCTCCCCCCTGCCCCTTCCTCCTCCTCCTCCTCTCCTCCTCTCCCTTCTCCGCTCCTTTTGGGCCCTCCCCCCTTCCCCGTTGTCCTCCTTTCCCTTTCCCCTTCCTCCCCCCCTCCCCCCTTCCTCCTCCCCCCTCCCCCCTTCCTCCTCCCCCCTTCCTCCTCCCCCTCCCCCTTTATCCCGTCCCCTCTTATCCTTCCCCCCTCCTACCTTCTCACCTTCCTTCCTCTCCCTTCCCTCGTGACTTCCTATGGTGAAGACCTTGTAACAAGGATTAACATTTGTGTGTCTGATATAGAGGTGGAAGCGCTTTCTCATATCCTATTTCAGCTCCTGTTTATCAGTGTATTTTTAATGTATTGCTTTTCCTCGAGTTGGAACCTGGTTGTAACGTGGCTTCTTTCGTGTTGCAGATGAGGCGCGGGAGGCGGGCGTGGGCGTGCTGGTCCACTGTCTCGCGGGAATCTCTCGCTCCGTCACCATCACTGTCGCCTACCTCATGTACAAGGAGAAGCTCAACCTCGAGGAAGCCTACGAGTACGTCCGCGTCAAGAAGGCCAACATCGCCCCCAACTTCAACTTCATGGGCCAGCTGCAGGACTTCCAGCAGCAGCTCAACCTGTCGCCTCACAAGTGCCAGTGTGTGGCCGAGTGCCGCTGCCGCCACCTCCACTTCCTCACGCCGGCCCGCACGTCCCCCGACTCGGGCATCGAGTTCGACCGCTTCTCATGAGGGCTGACCCCCGCTGCCTCCATGCCCGCGGGCGGCACCCCTAGGCTCTGCCTGGAGTCCCCCGCGCCGCCCGCCCTTCCGCCCGCGGGTGTGGAGGCAGTGTCCGGCCCTGGCGGGGCCCGGGCCGACGACCACACTGAGGAGGACGAGGGGAAAGGAGGAGACGAAGGGGAAGAAGACGAGGGGGAGGGAGGAGCGGAAGGAGGGAACGACGAGGAGGAGGAGGGCTCCGACCTCCCCTCCTGAGCAGCCTCGGCGGCGACGGCCCCACCCAAGTGCCAAAGGTGACCCTCCCTCTCGCCTCCTACACGGCCCCCCTTGGGAGTGTCCTACCCCCCACCCGGGTGAGCCCCAGGGGAGGAGCCCCGGGTCACCACACACGGCAGGGGGGAGGGGCCAGGAGGAGCCTGCGGCCCCCCTTGCCATAATCCAAACTTCCAGGTACAAATTTCTCGACGAGTGATCTCGCTTCTTTCGGGGAACCGCGTCGGCCGGCGACGGGGCGCGGGGGCGGCGCCGCCACCTCCGCCCTCCGAGCCGGCGCTACGTTCATTCAGAGGAAATATCTTTTATTTTTAAGGAAGATATGTGAACAGTTATGAAGTGTGGTGTTCAGGCTGCCACGAGCCTCTAACCAGTGTGTTCATCAGTTGAACTTCAGCGAGTGCGAAAATGTGTGTGAAGGTTTGAGACGTTGTTTCTTCTGTACAGTTGTCTGGATGCAACACTATGAGGTGATAAACAATCATAAATATTTCAAAAAATACAAAAAAGTCTTAAAAGAAACCCAAAAACGTGATACAGATTGTTTTTTCCCAGTATTTTGGTACCACAACATTGAGAAAGACGGTACGCTTACCTTTCCAAAAACAAAAACAAAACAAAAAAAACTTACGAGACGGCGACGGTGGGGTTTCGCACAGAGAGAAAAAAAACAAACCCAAAATGAAAAACCAAACCAATCCCTTACAATATATATATATATAGATGTATTCCCTTTGATGTGGAGCGAGAGAGAGAGAGAGAGAGAGAGAGAGAGAGAGAAACAAGAAAACCAAACCAACCATAAAAGTAGAGGAGACATTTCTCGGAAATAAATATTCATCCTGTTTTGGACTTCCATATTCAATTTTCGAAAGAAGAAAAAATGGCTAAAAAAAAAGTGTTTTAAAAAAGTCCGTTGTGCACCTGTGTTGTCCCGCCATCAAAGGGTTAATCGTGACCTCGCCGCGCCTCTCGGACAGCACCTCCTCAGGGATCAGGTCAGGCTGGGTCACACGGAAGGAGGAACGGAAGGTCATTCATTCAGGGTCATTTGGAGAGTAAAGAAAGAGGAATAGGAAGGAAAAAATCATTCAGGCAGAAGGGGAGGAAGGAGAAGAGAGAGATGGAAAAGTGATTAGAGATGGAGAAAAAAACAAGGAAAATTCAGTGAATGAATTTCCCTTGGATACAAGAGAGAGATCCTAAGATATATGTTATTTTTTTTTTTTTTTTTTTTTTTTTTTTTTTTTTTTTTTTTTTGCCTGGTCATGCTCGACAGGTAGTGATGTGGTTTGACCATGTGTGAGCAAGGGTAGAAAACTTTTGGAATTTGTTGTGTGGGGTTCAAAACCCTTCATGATTATTTGGCGTTTAGAAAAGTTGATTTTTTTGGATATCCTCTCCCATTACCCACCTGGCAAGACCCTGAGGTGATGCAACCCCCTTGTAAATTGCTTTAAAGCAGGAGATATCGGAAAAAAAACTAACACGAGTATTTACACATATATATATATGTATTTGTGAAACGGTCTACGTACAAAATTAACAAAAAAAAATCATATGTATCACATTGATTTCCTTTTTTGAAGATAAAAAAAAATAATAATAATAATAAATACAATGAAAGTAATATATTTTTAATGTTATAACTCGAACGGCCAATGTGCTTTTTTATTTCTTATACGTGTACAGTTTGACTAGACTACCATTATTCATATCACCGCTCAAATATGTGGATCACTTTGTACGGGCGGGCTCGGTGGAGGGGAGGGGGCAGCGCTCCCTCTGACTGCCAAATCCACACTCTTGAGACCCCCTTCCTCCGCTGGGGCCCTCCCTTCCCCCCCTCTCCCCCTTCATATCCCCCCCACCCCCTTAAGAATCCTCCGACATCAACCCTAAGTAATCTTCGCACA